CTCAAGGATTTGAAGAAATTGACTCAGATGGAACTCCTTTGGTGTGCTAGCTAAATCGAGCCTTGTATGGACTAAGGCAAGCACCTCGAAACTGGTATGTTAAGCTGCAGGAACACTTGGTACATATTGGTTTTGAAGCATCACTTGTTGATTGCTCATTATTTGTAATAAAAAGCGAAGAATATATAGTGTATATCTTAGTATATGTGGATGATATAATTGTTACTGGCAATATGATTTGCAAAGTGGAAGAAGTGGTTAGCTTGCTTGGTGAGAAATTTTCTCTCAAAAACTTGGGAAAACTCATTTTCTTTCTTGGAATCGAAGTCAAATATGTGGGTGATAGCATATTTCTGAGTCAAAGGAAGTATACCATGGAGTTGTTGGATAAAGTACAGATGAGCAATGCCTCACCGATGCCTACACCAATGGTCTCATCTCTCAATTTGACCAGAGAAACTGGTAGTCCTCTCACTGATCCAAAAGAGTATAGGAGTCTTGTAGGGTCATTACTATATGCATGCTACACAAGGCCAGACATAGCATACAGTGTCAATAAATTGGCACAGTTCATGCATGCACCATGTGAGCAACATTTATCTGCTGTGAAACGTGTTCTCAGGTACTTGAATGGAACTCTGGATCATGGACTTGTTTTGTCTCGAAATGAATTACCCTTGCAGCTCGTTGCATTTGCAGATGCTGACTGGGCAAGTAGCATGGATGATCGAAGGTCAATCTCAGGCAATTGTTTGTATCTTACTGGTAACCTGGTCATATGGAATTCCAAGAAACAGAAAATTGTATTCAGGTCTACAATTGAAGCTGAGTATAGAAGCTTGGCTGATGCATCCTCTAATGCTACATTGGTAGCTGTAATACTTGATAGTATGAGGATTAAGCTGCAAGGCACGTCTGTCATCTGGAGTGATAATTCCAGTGCCATATCGATGAGTGTCAATCCAATTTACCATTCTAAAACTAAACATGTGGAGTTGGATGTGCATTTCATGAGAGGAAATGTGGCAACAAACAGATTGAAGGTGAACTATATTCCATCTTCGCATCTGGTAGCTGATGGCTTCACTAAGGCATTGTCAAAAGATTACTTTTATACATTTAGACAAAGATTAGGTGTTGTATCGTTAAAAGAAGTTGAAGATGGAAGAAGCAGGGAGCATATTGGATGGAGTACAACGTAAGCATACACGAACATGCAGCATGCACCAGCTTAGCAATGCTTAGCAAGTTCTGTTCGTTTGCAGCATAACTACCTTTTTGTTATAGATGTTATAGTTGTTACATAATCACCTTTACTTGTATATAAAGAAGAGTTGTGTTACTTGTAAATTCAACTAATAAACAATATTCAGTTTTATACATTAGTTGAGTTTTCCATTACTATGAAGATGGACACTCTCTATAATCACTGAGGCCACTTGATATATTATATCGTACATACAATTTTATAAGTTCGTCACTCCTAACATAAAATTCTATGTCCGTCCTTGGATACAAATATTTTTCAATTTGGGATAAATAACTAATTTTTTCCCCACAATATTTTCTTGAATTTCCCATTATATGTTAGTAATTATATATATGAAGCGATGTATATCCAAAATAGTCGTTTTCAAATTCTTTTATATGAAGCGATATTGAATTTTCCTTTTGTTTTGGTATTTTCAAGTTTCTTGGGCAGTCCTATTTTGAACATAGAAAGTCAAAATCAATGATTCCTTAAAAAACCAGTTGAATTGATTCTCCAAAATTCTATATATATTGTCTAATTTCTCCTTTTCTAGTTTAATAAATAAATATAAAAAATTAAGAATTCCTTCTTAGAAAATATATTAATTCATTAAAAATTTAAGTAATTATTCTATAAAAAAAATCTCAAGATGAATTCTTAACTTATTAGATTGAGAGATGTTTGAACATTTTTATAATTTCTAGAGTATTATAATATCAATTATGTGAACTGAACTAATACTCAATAAATTTGGTTGTACATTTTTATACCTTAAATAATTTATTGGGCAAAAGGAGTGCCAAATTTTAATATTTTTCTAATTAATTTAAGTTTTGTAGGAGAAATTTTTATAACTATTTTAGGTGGAATTAGGGATGGGCATGAGTATGGTCGAGTCGGGTTTTTGGTCAATTTGATCATACCCAAAAATTATATATCTTCCACTTAATTCAAACCGATCCGAAAAATATACACCCTTCGTCCGACCCAAATAACTTTTTTAAAATAAAATTCAAACCCGACCAGGAATAATATATTTATAAAAAAATATATTACTTTTGTTCAATAAAAATAAGAATTTAATTGAAAAAAATAATATATAGAGGGGTATTATTGTAATTATCCCTAAAAGTATAAGTTAACATTATATTTTTTTCAGGTCGGGTCGAATTGAATTTTTTTTACCTAAATCTGACCTCGACCCGAACCTAGAATTATCTTTTAAAAAATATGACCCGATAAAATTAGGTCAAATCAAAATTCGTTGTATTCGCGTCCCGTACCCCTCCCTATATGGAAATGGTGCTAAATTTAATGCGTATAGGATAAGGTAACCTAGAGAATTAATTTAAGGAACCATTCAAGCTATATTTAGGTACTAGTGGATAAGCTTAATGTATTTAACTTCAGGGAATTTCCTTTTAAGCATTTTCTCTTTTTTTTTAAATGTATAAAATTAAGTGAAAATATAAGAATATTAAAATTTGAATTATAAACTTATAAAATTTTATATTTTAAAGAATTTTTAATTAAAAATATCATTAAATTGATGAAATTTTAATTTAATTAACATCTAACGGTCATAAATTCAAATACTTTTAAACTTAATTGTTATTAAAATTATGAATTGTATAAATAATTTATAGAAACGTTGACAAACGGGGTGGACGATCTTCGCCTGATAGAGGCAAAGTGCATACTTATTATTTTAAATAAATTATTAAATATAGTATAATATATTAAGGGAACGACAAAAATAAAAAAAAATTATATACCTATTTTATTGAAAAATAGAGTATTAAAATTTTTGCACTCTTATTTTTAAATTTGTAGATCCGTCACTAAACACGAACTATATATATTTTTTAAAATTATTAAAATTATTAAAAATGATCATTTGAACATATTTAAGTGATCTTTAATATAATTTATTTAATTATTAGATAGAATTAATTAATAAATAATGTGTTAAGCAGCCAAAATTTAAAAATCTATCACATGCCCCACAAGAGGCAAAAGGAAAGCCTCTACGTTTCTTTCGTGACGTTCAAACCTATATAAAGATCAAAACATGAAACACGTGCTTCTCATAAAAATAATATTAAGCGGATGATTTTGAATTCAATTCGATTGATTGGTATTTTTTTAAAATTAATATTTAATAAATTTGAAATTAAAAGTGTTTATGATAGAAATATGACTCGAAATTTATTTAAACTTTAATATCAAGTCGATTTTATCATATGTTTTAATATTATTTTTTTATGTAATTAGATCTTGTGATCTATGGATGGACATAAAATTTTATATTAAGGGTGACAAACTTATAAAATTTTAATAGAGACGAAAACAAATTTTCAATAAAAAACACAGAAAAATATTTGAAACATAAAAATTTAAAAGTTTTAGGGGCGACTGCCCCGCTAGCCTCTAGGTCCATCCCTAGTGGCATTTGTAATGTATGTTGAAGAATTTTATATCCCTTTGAATTAATATTTGATTTATTTTGATTAGAGATGGACAATGTCGAGTTGGATCGAGTTTTTTTATTAACTTTATTCGAGAAAATCATCTCTTTCATTTGAAATTTGATCTGGTTAAGGTTTAAGAAGGTTCTACTTAATTCGAAACTTGACACACTTTTTTGGGGTAAAACATATACTTAACCAGACTCTGTCCGACACAAATATATATATATATATATATATATATATACTCATTTCTGTTAGGAAAAATAAATATCTAACTAAAAAAATAGAGAGTGATATTATTACAATTAACTCTAAATATATAAAGGATAATTACACCATTATCTCAGATCGAGTCGGATCGGACATTTTTTTCTCATGAATTGTAGTTTAAATTATGTAAATTGTGTTCATTAAGTTTAGTTTGGTTGACATTATCGTTAGTACAATGAACGAAAAATCATGGAATCAAATATACTTAAACGTTATATATGGATTGAGGTGGTTTGGATAGTATAAAAATTATATAAAATTGTTAAAAAAGTTATATAAGTTATAAAAATATGTTAAATTATTGAAACACACAAATACCCTTTCTAATAATTTTTTAAAAATGATTAAATTTGTGCACCAATTTAATTGGATTTTATCTGATATTATTAAATAGTAGGAATGATCTTATAAAATTATGATATGTCAATAAATTATATATTAAATAAGATCATTTATAACTAACAATCAGTTGGTCTAATAGGATGATGCACTATATTTCTTAAGTAAGATCAGAAGTTCGAATCTTGACATTTGTGTATGGAGCGAACTAGATTAATAGGATCATCATTATCTATGTAGTATTCAATCTAGATTAATAAATTAATAAATCGAATCCAGATAGTTATACCAAAAAACAAAATCATTAAAGATTCGAACTTTTTAACACTATCGAGAAACTAATAAACCCATATTTGCTTTCTAATCCTTTTAGGAAGAATAGTAAAATAGGGTAATTTTAGTAAATTCCAAAGGAATTCTAATAATGAAAAAAAATGTTGAATTCTAGAAAAAGAAGGGGCCACTTGCTAGAAAGCACTCATTTCTTACACGAACAACCTGAGAGATTAGTCATTGGTCAACTAGTTCATGTTAAAACCCTTTGAAAGCACCCCAACCCCATAGAAGCCTCTAGAGTCTAGACTCCAAAATTCAACCAGCCTACTCCCCTTTAAGAACTAAGTCCCCCAATACCCTTCACCCATCAATTTTCCCTTCATCAAACCTTTCCCTCTCAATTTTCTCTCTCCCCAAACAACCCTTTCTTTCTCCCCCCCCCCCAAAATAAAAAAATAAATGGGTACTTTAGTGGGACATGTTGCACCGGGTTTTGCCTTCTTTGCACTTGGTTTATGGCATCTTTTTAATCACGTCAAGCTACATGCTTTAAACCCAAGTTCCTACACATCTTTCCCATGGTTCCCCACGTCGAAATTTAGGTACTTAGAGCAGGTTTTGATCATGGTTTGCTCATCGATCTCCATATCCATGGAACTCTTCATTGGCCCTGCAGGACACCAGCCTTTCGATCCCGACGGAACGATCCCTTCAAACCATCTCCACAATTTCGAACACTCGGCTATATCGATGACGTTCTTCGTCTATGCAGCTTTCTCCATCGTGCTCGACAGAATCAGTAACATAAACCCCATTGCTAAGTCTAGCCTGACGCAGCTTCTTGGAGCGGTTGCCTTTGCTCAGCAGCTGTTCTTGTTCCACCTTCACTCGGCTGATCACATGGGAGTCGAAGGCCAATACCATTTGCTTCTACAAAGTGCCATTGTTGTGTGTTTAGTGACTACCCTAATGGGAATAGGGTACCCTAAGATCTTCCTGGTGAGCTTTACCAGGTCTTTAAGCATATTGTACCAAGGGTTATGGCTTATGGTCATGGGGTACATGCTTTGGACACCGGAACTGATCCCGAAAGGCTGTTTCATCCACCTCGAAGAGGGTCATCAAGTGGTTCGATGCTCAAGCGACGAGGCACTTCATCGAGCTAAATCGTTGGTGAACATCGGATTCAGTTGGGCTCTTATCTGTGTCACCATTTTCGCTGTGAGTTTCTACTTGGTTTCGGTCAAGTTCTATGGGGAAAAAGTTGAGTATTCCACATTGGAACAACGTGAAGATGAGAAATTTGAGCTTGGAGATGATGATTTTGAAGATGTTGAATCACAAAAGGGTCAAAGCAAACTACATGGTGAGCCTAAAAGCTTCATTCATATGGGAAAAGGGTATGCAATTATGGACATTGAAAGGTAGATTACATGTGTCAAGAAGGTGAATATGTGTACAAAGTTTTAGTTTTTTTAGGTAGAATTATATCCCACTTTGGTCTTAATTAAGCTTTGCAAATAATTTGGGGGCTTAATGAAACAGCAAGAAAATGTCTTGTTTGGACTAATAGGGGAGAGTTTGGTGCGAAATATTGTTTGGTTTGAATTCATGGGATTTGGCGTTTGAGGTGTTTTCATCTTGGTTTGTATGTATACACAAAGTTGTTTAATAAAGTTTAAAATTTATATACAAATGTACATATATTTATTAATAATATAATATTTTTTATTGGTAAATATAAATAAATTTTACTGTGGGAACTATCAGTAAATAAACAACTAACATAAAGAAATTCGGATTTCAAGTGGGCATATGGAAAAACTTACATCTACCACTACCACCAACATGGACGGACACAAGATTTATCTAAGAAGGGACGAACTTATAAAATTTTAAATATGGGAGAACTTACAAAATTTTAGGGGCGAAAACATATTTTCAATAGAAAATATATAAGAATTTGAAAATTTTAGGAGGGCGATCGCCCCCTCTAAGTCCATCCCTGGCCACCAACCAATCGTTTTGGTGCGATGACACATTAGATCTCTAAAATAAGATTAGAAATTAAATCTTAAAGTTATGAATAGAGTAAATTATGTTAAGAGGATCACCTTCATATAGAGTTATACAATATTTAATCTAAATTAGTTGATTAATAAATTAGATAGCGATAATTAAAAAAATTATATATAATAACTTGAAAAGCAACAAATTTAGAGTTAATTTTTTTTCTTATTAGATGATATCATGGTAGTAGCTTTCTGTTTTTTTTTAAATGATGAGATTTAAACTATTTTAATATTTTAAATTATTAAAAGTGCATTTTAATAAATAATAAAGAAGTAGCTTTCTATGTGGATCCTTGCACAAGCAAGAAATTACCAACCCCACCATGTATTTTTTAATTAATTTTGTTTTCTTCCATAAAATGATTTTGATTCTGCCACAGCCCTTTCAACTCAAATGTTAGAGACCTTTCTAAATTATCTATAATATGTTTCGAAAATTGATTTTTTTTGGATGGCACACATCACTACCTCGTTCCACAATTATATTAATAAAATTAAAAAATATTAATATATATACATATATATTTAAAATATTATTAGAATCCATCATTTTAATGTACAATCAGACTTATAATAAGATAAAGACTATATAATAAGGTTATATATAGGGATGCGAATGAATTGGGTCGGGTCGGTTTTTTGTTACCCTAATTACGATTTTAGATTAGAAAGTTTTCACCCGACTCCTACTTAATTCGATATTTGATGATATTTTATTTGATATGAACCTAACTCAAATTTTGGGAGTAAAATCTGGATGTGGCATAATAAATTTGTTTTCCCTCGGCATATTTCTTAGTTTGTTAAATCCTTCTTTCAAAAAAAAAAAAGCTTAAAATATATTTATTTAAATGTGTTACAAATGATATATCGTTGTCTGATTTATTTATTAAATTTTAGAGGGAAATAAAAACATATTATGTATACAAAATACACAGAAAAAATATAAAGTATGTAAGAAATCAAAAATTTTAAGATGGACGACTACATCTACTCACTGCCTAAGTCCATCCCTGAATATTTATGAACGACTATTGATTAATCAAGGGACGTACACCTTAATTGATTAAATCCGACTGACTTAACAACAATTAGTTAAGTTAGAATGCTTTAGCCTTTTTATTCTCGGAGATGTATAAGATTAGCAGTGAGAATGGTTTGATTGAATTTTTTGAATTGTTTAATTTGGTTCGATTTTTAATTTTCTTTAGTCTATTTGGATTTTATTATTTTTATTTTATTTTGATAAAATGACTTTATTTTATAGTTTTTGATATTATTTTAAAGTTTTTTTATAAATAATATAAAAATCAAGTAAATAGAAATAATTAATTATTACATAATAATTTAAATCATTTTTATTATTTAAATTATAATATACTTGTTTTTCATATTATAAAAATAAAATTCGATTCGGCGAGCATTTGCTAACATTTGTAGGTTTGTTTCTGCTTCCAGACGAGAAGGCAGCTGACCACAAAAGATGGTTTGGTCACAGCAAATGGCCGCAACATGGTACACTTTAAAAAATGCGACTTCATGGTGCCTTCCAAGTCACTAAGATGGTGACTACTTTAAGCAAATTGCATTTTATTTTTTATATTTATTGTAAATAATCTCTTTGGTGATTTAAATCCCAAATTGTATCCCTAATAAATTTGTTAATTTTGATTTAAACTCAATCCGATTCAATCGAATCTAAACTCAAACTCAAATTGCCAAGATTCAATTGAATCTAATCTCAAACTCAAAATGCCAACAATCTAAACCCTAACTCAAACTCGTAACTTAAATTGACCTGAACAAAAATCGACACATAACATAATGATCTAAAGTCGAAATGACCAAAACAGATGCACATTAATAGATTAGAACCCGAAATGATCGAAACCCAAGACAACCTAACTCGAAAAAACTAGAACCTTAAACCGGAATAACCCAAACCCAAAATAACCAAAAGGATTTGAAACTCAAAACCTCAAGCCATCCAATTATTTAATATTTCATTTCTCACAATGACCATTCTACTTGGATTTTCAAATGCTCTTTCGGAATCTTAAAAGTGGTCCAAGCAGTGAGTTTTAGCAAAGGAATGAGTAAAAGCTGAGTCAATAGATGCATGCAAAACCAGAAAATTAAATAGAATAATTATTTTCTATTATGCTTTTTTTTTTTTTGGATATCTAACATCTTCAGACAGAGAGTCTAAATCTTTGACATTTGATCTACTGATTATGGCTGTCAAAAACAAATTAATCAAAACGACTTACTACTTTACTCCACTGAACCCATCAAATCTTCATACTCGATCACTTTCCTGTTTTCTTGCATTTGCTTTACCGCCTCTCTGGTGTTGAGATGCCCCAGGAACAGATGTGGGAGAGAATGGATCATAAACTTGTTGTCCGGCAGGACAGCTCGATGTAGGTCTGGTGGACTGTGGGAAAATACCGCCGGAAATTGGGGTTAGGAGGTGCGAAATTTCCAGGCCTAGGTGGAAGAGCTGGGTAGTGTTGCTGATGCAGCGAAGAATGCCCTGGCCTGGGAGGAAAGGGACCGACCATATTGGGCGTTTGAGGAGATGGAACAAAGTTTCTCAATCCCATTTGTGGAACTGGAGGAGCATTCGGAATGGGACCGCCACCTGGAATGCTGAAGGTCTGGGTGGAGCAGACGTGGCAGTTTGCTGAGCATTGGGCAGTGAAGAAGAGGTGTGAGCTTGCGGCAAACCCATCTGGTTGCCACTATGTGGCCTAGGAAACAGTTGCATTGCTGGCTGGGGAGTACAATTGGGCACACGAAACTGGAAAAGTGGTGCTTGTTGTTGAACCACTGATTTGGGGGCTAGACCATGTGGATTTGCAGCCTGATCGCCTGGTCTTGGAACCATTTGATAGGTCGGTCCGTGTGTATGGTGAGGTTGAAAAGTGAAATCCCCAGAACTTGAATGTAGTGATCTTGCAGAAACTGCTGCAGGTTGATTATGGGAGCAAAATTTGGTATGTTTCCAGAAGAGAACCAGAAGGTCCTCTTGGCAGAGATGGTGACAATGATGTGGGTGGCGCTTGTAAAATAATTGGTCTCGATAACATTGCTGGATTTAGAGATGGATTCAGTGGTGGTGCCATGGAAATGGCAGGTAAAGACGATTGCATTGGTGGTGGCACAGACATAGGTACTGACACAGCTGTTGGACGTAAAACATATGATAATGCAGAGGAAGACCCTAGTGGAGGACCAGGAGGAAAAGACGAGGCGGCTGGTTAACATGCATACTGGTTAATCGAGGACCAGACTGCCCTGGTGAAAAAGTTAATAACATGTTCGGAGGGGCAGAAGAACCTGACGCAACAACTGGTCTTGGAACTACAGGATTCGATACCTGGGAAATAAGTGCAGGTGAAGCAACGTGCCCTACATTTCCTGCAGGGATCAATGGTCTTGTGCGAGGGAGTGGGCCCAGAGCTTGGGGCTGGCTTCCTGTAAGTGGCAGTTAAGATAAATTGCCAGGTTGCGTAGATGGAAGATTTGGATTTGGAACAAGAAAATTTTGACCAATATGACCCAAAGGATGCATTGCGGGAACATGTGGCTGTGAATATACTTGTCTTGGTTTTGGAAGCTGTGGACTGGATGAAACAAGGGATGAGTCTTGAATAATGGTGTTGTATCCAGCTGCAGAAGCTGGTCGTGGCCCAAAGAGTGAAGACAGGTTTGAAGGTGAGGACTTTGCAGGTACAGGACTGTTGAGAATAGGTGCCGAAAAATTCGGAGGCATAGGGCTGATAGGGAACCATGAATTGTGGTATTGAAACTGACCTCGTGAAGATGCTATGTAAGTTGCGGAACTTGTTGATTTAAAGCATAATCAGTTGCACACGATACAGCTGTGTCGGGCATTTGACTAAGAGCGTTCACATCATTCCCAGATATTGCAGGCACCGAACCAGTGCCTAAATTTACCAGCAGAAAAGGTGCAAATAGTTATTTTCATAAAGTAGTAGCAATAAATATCATTCCGTAATCTCCTTTTTCTCGGTGAGTTTTCTTGATGTTCAAAGTGATGAACTCACTGATATTAAACTAACTAGCAACTCAAGCAGTAGAAAAGTTATTTTCATAAAGCAGTAGCAATAAATATCATTCCGTAATCTCCTTTTTCTCGGAGAGTTTTCTTGATGTTCAAAGTGATGAACTCACTGATATTGAACTAACTAGCAACTCAATCAGTGCCACTGCTCCATCAACTTTCTCAAAGGTGTCGGCTGATAGATGAGAACATACAACTCTTCATAAGCATCCTGGGTTTCATTACCATCAGGAATAGTAATTTCAACCTGATGACGAAACACTAGCTACAAGTTAACAATGCTTAATTTAAGCATTCATGAAGCATATATTTAAGGTAGATCTTTCTTAAGTGAGAAATAGAAAAGGCTTCAGCAATAACTTAGATGGTGCTATATTCTCCCGGCCTAAAGAATTACCTTCTCCCCAGTATTTGCTTTAATGCCGTAAACTTGTAATGTTGCTCCAGTTTCCTGGTTTGTAGATGAATGGTAAATTATAAATTTTCACTCAAGAAGAGCATATCAATATATGTACACACGTACATAATATAATATGAATGACTGTATATATGTCCAAGCACACGCGCGCACACGTAAAGAGCAGATCTTCGATAGGTCTCAACGGCCTTCATGGTTTATCAGCATCAATTGAACAAAATAGCAGAAACCAAATACTTACCTTTTCTAGTCGCTTCTTAGTATCACTTCCGCGACCAAAGATTAGAGAAACAAAATTGCATTCAGGATATTCTTTCACCTGCAATACTAATATAGTACAATAATATTCAAGTGTTGCATGCACATAGCCAGAGGATGGAAGAAACTTATTAATATTAGAGAGAGAATAGCATTGCTATGAAAATTGGAACAAAATCGAAGGCTCCCATAACAACCCATTTTATCAATTAACCAGGTTTTTTTTCTTCTTTTTTTTTTCTTTCATTTTGGAACAATTGACACAAAAAACACCATGACTTCTCTGGTGATAACAACATGCCATGAGCATAGCAGGGTTCTTAATAAACATATCAACCACTCCATTTTGGTACTACCGCTGGGTTATTTAGATTGAAAGTGTCCCACGATGCAACTTTTCCAAAAAGAAAGAACAAATACAAGGCAAGCGCAATGATGGTCAAAGTCAAAACTTTCACTTTGGGTGGATGATGAGATAAAAACAATTCATATATTTAGATCAAAGGGGATGCATGTATAGAATCAAAATGCAGAAAAATTAAATGTGAACCTTATTATGCACAATGAATGCTGCTTACTATGAAAAATTCATATGCGTCGAACTCAACAGAATTTCATAGAACTTTGAACAGAAAGATTGTCATTAATTACTTAAATGTGGAACTTCTTTCAGAAGTAGAATAAAAAATGCAGGAAAAGGATAACATAAGAAAATTTGATGCAATAATATGTCAGTATTAAAATGGGCTTACAGGAATGGAACAGTTGCCTCCTTCAATAAGGTTTATAATCTGCTGGTGCTTTGCAACTTGGATTCAATTTTAGTATTTCACCTAGAAGTAAAAAAATGAAAAAAAATAAATTGGAGAAAGAAAATTTCCTTATCTAGCAAAAGTTGTCGGAGTTACCAATGGCTTCCCGTCTTTCAATCTCCAAAAGTTCTAATTTCTACATTCACAATTCTATGTTAGTTGCAAATATAAATCCCCAATAAATCAATCCAACAAAAAGGAATTAACAGAGCACGCAATATTGTCTGTCTACCTCACTTTCAAGTTGAATATCAGAAGTGCTTTTAACCATATTCTTAGTAGCTAGTGGCGAGTCTTACGTATCCCCAACATCCAGAGTTCCAGACTTCAGCTGTTGGATAATCTGATACACTCGAGTCTGCTCAAAATTTGGACCACCATAGAGGAAGTAATATTGCTTAATGGAACCAGGAATGTTAAGTCTCCATGCTAGGGATTGCAAAGTGGACACTGGAATTTTATCACCCAATGAGGGGCAAGGTAAATTTTCAATTTCCATCAGATAAGCAATAAATATTCCTCCCACAATCCAGGGCTACAAATGCCTCCAACTCACTACTCAAGATAGTTTAAACATGTTGAAAGAACTTCTAATATTTGTCACAAAATTTCAATATGCACTTGCAAAATGACTCCGATATGCACTTCCAAGGGATCGACCAAATACCTGATAGGCTAAGGCTCTACCCCTTCTGACAGCAGCATCCTGTGTCAGATCAGGGCTCCATTTTGTATCCATAATATCTTCATTGGCAGCAGTATTTCCTCCAAAAATTTTTATACCTCCTCGGAAGATAGGAACCAATGAACCCGACAATTTATTTTTAGGTATTACAAAGCCAGTCTTTGCAGCAAACCTTGAGAACTTTGGGCCTGTAGTTGATGCTGTGGATGAAGTAGTTGCAGACATGTTGGTAACGTGAAGTCCAGCAGCAGGTGTCCGGTCAATCTTTGTACTCATCCTGTACACTCAACAACTTCCTATGGCCCCTGACATATGTGTATAGCATATAAAATTAGCAAAAGTAGAGGAGGAATCCACTGATACAGTCAGTTGTCAACGGTAAAAAGGGGGCAAAAGAACTTCCAAGTGCAACTACATATGATAGAAAGGAAGAAGATAAAGAATATGTGCAGCAATAAATTCTTCATTTAGTCTTAATGTAAAATCTTACAGTATGATTCAATAACAACAGGACTCCAAACCAAAGTAGAGGCACTACTTAAGACTAAAAAGTCAGCATTTAATGTGTGTTTTCTCTTAAATGGGTTGACTGTTAGACCTTAATCCGGGCAAAAGAGAGCTAATGCATGACAATTTGTAATATGAAAAGCTAAAACCTTCTACAAGAAAGGAGCCTATCTACATTACGGTATAATTGCCATAGATAAAGACAACTGCACCCATCATATAGTTTCAAATGCTAAAAATACCATGTTCACTATCATTCAATCAAAAAGGAAGTAGTCAAACTCGTTATCTCACGAGGAGCAGTTTTTTTCTTCTTTTCTTTCAAATGGGAAGGGTAAAGAAGAACGGAGCTAGCTCTCCATGCAGGATACAATCAGCTACTATTGTCGCAAGTTCTTGAAAAAAGGAAAAAATTCAATCATACACAATCTCCATTCCTACAAAAAAAAAAAAAAACAGAACCTAGTAGTCCAAGCAACTGGGTTTTCTTCGTAACTCGATCTATTTAAAGGGAGTCCAAATTGATTCAAACCAACAACCAATAGCAAGCACTGTAAAATCAAAGCAAATTAACTGATAAAAGCCTTCTGCAAATATCTAATTTAAAGACCAAAACAAAATCAATGGTAGGGGAAAAAAAGCACCACGAACATAATCATTTAAAAGCAGGAAAAAAATAACAAATAAATAACATGAGAATAAGCGTACTAAATTTACATATTAATCATAATTCCTCAATATATCTGTATAACTTTCTTTACACAAAAATTCAAAGAATTGCAATAGCTTTAAAATATGAAATTCATACAAACTAGTGAGTTCTATGGTGACAAATTTCCCCAACATTCAATGAAAAAGGACCAGGGGATAAGAAATAAGAATCGAAAACGTAGTACTGGAACTTAACAGTGTAAAATTCGATGAAGCAAAATGGTATCAGGATTACCTAGGGTTTAACCGCAGAGGAGCCGGGCTTGAACCGATGGGTTTTCAAGTTGAACTGAGCGCAGCGACAGAAGCAAGGTGTCGAGAAGGGAAATGAAACGAAAAACGTTTTGAATTTTGATTACCCAGTGATGTGTGATCAGCCAAGGCGGTCGGTTATGGCCGATGATCAGAGAAAATGGACTACAAAAATGGCCCATCCGAATTAAATCCAATTTCGAAGGAAAATCTTACTAAAGCTAAAAGTGTTTCGGTTGGTGGTCAGGGAGGGTTCTCGGGTTCTCCTCTTCCTCAATGATCATAAGCTTTTGGAACATTAGAGCACTTAACAGCCCTCTAAAGCAGAATAAAGTAATTCTTAGAGCTATCCAAAACAAGATTGATATTCTTTGCCTCCTTGAAACAAGAGTCAAATCTCTACCAATGGCAGGATATGGGTGGTGTGGAGGAAGGATTTAAATTTTACTATAATTCATGTTGCCGACCAAAATATAACTATTAAAGGTTCTTATCTTGGATTTCCAGTCTTCATATCGGCTATCTATGGAAGTAACGTGGGATTGCTAGAAGACAATTATGGCAACAGATTAAAAAGTTGTGTTTTGGTTAATCAAGATTCCTGGATTCTAGGTGGTGACTTCAATATTTTTCTACATGCTCATGAAAGTTCAGATTATGATGTGTTTGGCAATTATTTAACCATGGATATGAAAGAGTTTCAAGATTTCAACAGTGCATGGAATTTACCGATCACTCTTACTTGGGGCCAACTTTTACATGGAGTAACAAACAGAAAGAATTTTTTATGGCAAGGAAGCTTGATAGAGTCCTGATTAATTCTGCCTGGTTTACTGCTTTTAATAATTCCTTTGTAGAATTTCTTGTCTCAGGAGTTTTTGATCATTGTATAACCATTACTTGGCTTTCTAAAGTTGCTCCTGCAAATAGGCCTAAACCATTTAAGTTCTTCAACTGCTGGACTACACATCATGGATTCTTGGAAATGGTTCGGCAATCTTGGATTCAAAATGTTTCTGGAGACCCTTTAAGGATTTTGTTCTCCAAATTAAAACGACTCAAAGATAGTCTTAAGCGTTTTAACAAGGATAACTTTAGCAGCATCTCGGATCGGGTAAAAGCAAAAAGAATTGAGTTAGAGCAACAACAAATTCTCTCTCTAAAAGGAGAAGATACTATTGAAAAGGAACTTGCTATTCAAGATGAGTTGAAGCTTTTGGAAGAAGCGGAAAGTTTATTCTTTAAGCAAAAGGCTAAAATCCAGTGGATAAAAAATGGGGGACAAAAATACTAAATTTTCCCACTCCATGGTGGCCTTAAAAAACAAGAGGGATACAATTAGAGTTCTTATGGACAATAGAGGAAATAGACTTGATTCCTTTGACTCTATGGCTAAATAAGTCGTTGATTTCTATTATCTTATTGGAACTGTCGACCCCTCGGTTAAAGCTATTGACCCAAGCTTCATCAAAACTATTCTTAACTTCAATCTGTCCTATAAAGCTTCTTCTTGCCTTGTTAAAGAGCTTACTGCAGAAAATTAAAGATGCCATCTTCGACCAAGGAAATGATAAAGCACCCGGTCCGGACGAATATTCCCCTCTTTTCTTCAAGAAAGTCTGGAATATTGTCGGTAAGGATGTCATTGATGCGGTTAAGCACTTCTTTTAGATTGCATCTTTAATTCCAGCTTTTAATTCTACTGTTGTTGCTCTAGCTCCTAAAATTCCAAATCCAAGTTCTGTTAAAGACTTTCGGCCCATTTCTTGCTGTTAAGTTATTTACAAATCCATTACCAAAATTCTTGTAAAAAGATTGACTGAGGTTCTTCCTGATATCATTTCTTTAAACCAAACAGCTTTCATCAGAGGTATAAACATTGTGGATAATACTTTGCTTGCCCAAGAGATTGTTAAAGGTTATAGTAGGAACTCCATTTCGCCTAGGTGCACTCTGAAAATTGATCTTCATAAAGCATTTGACTCAATTCATTGGGATTTTATTTCAGCTATTCTTAATGCTTTAATCTTCCTCAAAAATTCATCGATTGGACTAAAGCATGTTTTACTCAAGCAAGGTATTCCATATCTTTCAATGGCACTTTGATCAGTTATTTTAAATGAGCTCGTGGTCTTAGGCAGGGGGATTCTCTTTCCCCTTATCTCTTTGTCCTTGCTATTAATGTCTTGTCCAGATTACTCAATCTGGCTGCTAGTAAGGGTATATTTGGTTATCATCCTAAATGTAGGAAGATAGGGATCACTCATTTATCCTTTGCAGATGACCTCTTGATTTTCTACAAAGGTAATCCGATTCTGTTGTGGTGTTCTAAGTGTCTTGGACAATTTCAAGGATATCTCGGGACTCAAGATCAATTCTTCTAAATGTGAGATATTTCATCCTGGAATTTCTTCATGTCAATTGATGCCATCAAACATATAACTTGCTTCAAAATTGGACGTCTTCCTGTCAGATATCTCGGAATTCCTCTGGTCACCCGCAAGTTAAATGAAAAAGATTGTGAAGCACTTATTGTTAAAATTAAACAAAGACTCCATCATTGGTCTGCTAGGAACC